GAACAAATATATATGCACTGTAAATTGTTATTTAACGAAACATGCTTCTGCTACAGCACTGCAGAACAAGAATGCTTCATCAGTAGCTGAATATGTTGTGCAGCTGATGATGATGTGAGTTTACCAAAGTTTACAAGCAGTGTTTGCCTCTTAGGAAAATTAGTTGCTGGAACGAAAGTCCAGACATCTTGAAAAGTAGCTGGACTGAATGTCTGCCTGGTGGGAAAACTTCTCAGCCCGTTCTGAAAGTTGTCAGCCCCGGGCAGACGGTCCAGCCTTTATTTCTAACACTGTCTACAAGGCTTTTTTGTCTTAAGATGTTTAACAAACATTTTTCTTCAATGAAAAGTTTTTAATTTGCGTATTTATAGCACCATAGGACAACATGTCCACAGCTTTCAGTACAAAATAAAAAAGTTAAAAGTTATAAGTTATTTATATATAATAACTGTGTTATTGATGCTCTTAATTCATACTTTTTCCATAATGGACCAAAGTCTTATAAAGTTACCACAGTACAACTTAAAATTGCCTTTGTCCATGCATTCCTTTGCATCCCATGTAACCATTAAGATTTTAGATTTATTTAGGTGGTATAATTTATTTTCTGTTGTATAGGAAAGTAAGGACTTTCACAAATCAGGAGGAGATGAGAAAGTGGAGTAAAAATTCAAACATGCCAACATGCCTAGAGGATGATGTAAGTGTTCATGTGCAGACTTTCCCACTGCCAAAGAAATAATCTTTTTGGGAACATACAAAAAGGAAAAGTTTATCACATTAAAGAATACATCTTGTGCCATTTGGTCTTAATGCAAATTGTTATTGTAATGTCTTTTATAAATGTAGAATTTTAAATATTACTTTTGGATTGCAGTTGCAGAGTGAAGTGTATCAGTAGCCTGCAACTGCTGCAGAAATGGAGTCAGGACAAGTGTCACAGCCAGTCTTATTACATGAGCCTCAAGACACCTCTTCCTCCCAGCCACAAAGTCACATCAACGCCCAGTACCAGTTATGACACTACTGATGTGATGCAGGATCAAATTTGTTACAAAGTCATATTTGAGGGGTGAATTTTCCCTTAGGGATACATTTGCAATTGGATTTGGACCCAAGTCGTTTGACGCTGCAAAAGTAGTGCGTGTGAAGTATCTCAAGAAAAGAGGACAGTTTGGTTAATAGAAGGAATGGACTATTTGGGCAAATGCCACATTAACTCAGTGGTATCATGTTTTCAAAACAAAAATTACATTTTAAAGGAAGAGATGGACAGAATTTTGGAAATTTTAAAAGAGATTTTTAGGACAGACACAGCAAGGAAATTATACAGCAGAGAACTTACCATATCCTAAAGAAAATAATTTCAAAATCAAGTTAGCCGTGTTGACTACTTTTAACAGCATAAATGAAATGATTACCTTTCTCTACATTCAAATTTTGACAATTGTGATAATTTTTGTTGCAAAACATTTATTTTATTTCGTTTTTAATTTCACTTTTTTTTTACTTTAATTTTTTTACTGTAACATTATAATGATTCTTTGCATGATTCTTTAGATGAAGAGAAAGAAAAGGCACCTGGTCCTGTTAGATCTAAATGTAGATTAAATTATATAAGAGACAGGGCACACAAAATGTATATAACAGGAGCAATAAACAATTTATTTTTTGCAAAAATGCATTGTCTTGAACAAAGTGAATAGGAATTAACATTAGGACATACTACAAAAAATAAGTTTAACTAGAGGATCAGAGAGGCGATACCGCCTCCGAATATTGTACCACCAGCTGGAGCAAGCGCATTCGTATAGACCCCCACATACACAAAATAAGGGACACAGCCACCAGTTTTGTGCTTGACAAGCTGTAAAAATGCAATCAACAAGAATTTTTAAACTATTGCAAAAAATATATATGGTACAATCAAATTTAAGTTCTTCGTAAGGTAGGTCAAGGGTCAATTTCAAGGTCACAGTAAATTGCCAGTATATGACTTCCTATTCAAGTTCAAGAGTAACTATGGACCTATCTCTGTCAAGTTTGAAGTTAAAAGAGAAAGAAATTAGCAGAGTTCAGTTCATGATAAAAAGTAGGTCAAAGGTCAATTTCAAG